CATATATTGCATCGCTTTCTGGGGGTTCCTTAGCATTGACACAATGATTTAGATGATTCATTTCATAATTTTTTCGACAAAATTTTGATGTTGGTTGTCAGCCATCTAATGCGATCTCTCTCTTTTTTTTTTGCATCTAAGGCTTGAGATCTAGCAATAACAGTGTTATGTATGTAAATCTATCAAAAAAAAAAACTCTTAAGCATCGTGAAAAGAGAGAACATGAAATAAAGATATTGTAAAAAAAACTTGTTGAGCCACTTTAAAGGAAATTAAATGAGGATGGCTAGAAAATAGTGAGAAAGAAAGAAAAAGTTAGCATGCAGCAAACACAAAAGGAGAATAAGAAAATGAATCAACTCGTCAAATGCACAATGTTGACATGTAGTCGCCCGTATTACGGATGACTGTGCATAATTATAAAATTTTCTTCTTGAATACCAGAAATTTAATTTTATTAACAAAGTGTTTTGTTTTAACATTTATCTGTCTGATTTGTTGAGGAAAAGGTAAAAAGGTAAAAATGTTACACAAAAGCACTGTACTCCTGTTGATCTGCTACAAACCAAGCAGACCCTAGCTATTTATAAATCATTAAGGCCCTGTTTTGGAGTGGTTGTTTAACTATGGTGTGTTTTGAAACTGGCGCAACTGACGTTTGGAAAGTGCGGCACGACAATGTTTTTTATGTTGCGCCCATAAAGGCAGGCAGTTGGTATGCCCTCGCAGTCTGCGTTTGCTTCACTATTTTTCCCCTTCTTGCCCTTCGAGTCTCTAACCTAGCTCCTTCGCATCTCGTCCAAACTCCTTCGTATCTCTGCCTCTCTCCCTTCTCGGTCTCTCTCGCGCGCGCTACCTCTCTTAAGTCTTTGACCTTAAGCTGCCGCTTCTCTCCTATTTGTGCAGTAGGAAGTGATCTCCCCTCTCCTATTTTTGTCTTTGAAATTTGAGGTTGGTTTGAAATGTGTCTTTCTCTGTGGAAATTGTAGCTTTGCTCTATCGTGAAAATTGATATTCGAGTAGCACGAAAATGAGATTTTGGATTTTTGTATTCTCTTTCATTTTTTGTGCGGTTTGTGATCTTTGTTTTACTCATTTATAATTTACACTTTTATTTTTCTTTATATTTATGTACCTAACATCCTGTTGTGTGATTCTTATTCGATGTGAATATTGGTTGGGATTTTAGCAAATATTTTGATATTTGAGGGAAACCCGACCCGGGGAGACTTGGATTAGGATTTTATGATGAATTATGTCTTGAGCTAAAACTGGATTTTTTAATGGTAATTTATTCGGGTGTTGTGTATGTTTTGAATATGTAATTGTGGTTTTATGGTGAATCCTTTCTTTGTAGTGAGAATTTGAAAAAAAAATGCAAGAGAATTTTAAAAAGAATTGTAGTGAGAATTTGATATTTGAATATGGTTATTATTTTATTATGGTTGTGCTATTGGTGGTGCTTTTTTGGTGACATGGTGGTGGTGTTGGTGGCTTGTTTGGTGGTGATGATTGTTGTGGCTTTTTGGTGGCATGGTGGTGGTGGTGGTTGCTGTGGTGAGTTGTTGGTGGTGGTTTTTTGGTGGCATGGTGGTGGTGTTCGTGCGTTGGTGGTGGTTTTTTTGTGACTTGACCGTGGTTTGTGGTGGTTTTTTTGGTGACATGATGCTGGTGGTGTTTGTGGCTTGTTGATAGTGGTCATGGTGTTGGTGATGATTTTTTTATGACATGGTGGTGTTGGTGGTGATTTTAGTAATGGTGGTGGTTTTATGGTGATTTTAGTAATTTTAAATGACTTTAAGTTTTTTTTTGGGCAAATATTTATGTTGCTCGGTTCTTTTCATGCTAGTATCGTTATGGTTAAGACAAAAGAAATCGGTTTGTCTGTCACGTGTGATAAAGATGTCAAAATAAGTCTCTACCTTAAAGAGGTGGAATTGAGAAATAGGTCAACAACCTATCTTAATAAGGAGGTGTGACAAAATATTATAAATAGTTCAAGAAAAACACAAGATGGGAATATGATATGATGCAATTGAAAAATAAGTGGGATCAATTAAAAAATGACTGAAAATTTGAAAATCGTTGAAGGATCCACGGGTTTGGGTTGGGATTCGATAAAATGAATAATTGATGCTTCGGATGTCTGGTGGGCCGAGAGACTAGAGGTGAGAATTTATGAAACGTCTGGTCTTTTTATCAAACCATTATAAAGAGGGTTTCTCAAGCCTTTTTCTGATATCAAATATCATGTTTCTAATGTTGAAAAAGCTAGCAACTTTGCTTGGGATAGAAAAGAGATGTTTAACAAGAGGCACTCATCCTTACGTGGTGTTATCAGAAGAATATTTGAAGTTTGCAAAAAATGGGTTATTCTGTGAGATATGCCCACATTCATTTAGCAAACAAGTTCAGATTGTGGTCGCTACAGTGACTCTCCATAATTACATTCGACGACATACTTTATGCAGTGACATTGACTTCAATAGGTCAAATGAAGATCATTCACATGTTTTTGCTGAAGCATATGAATATCGCCTAAGGCAATCAATATCACGGGCTAAAAGTGATTTCTTAGAAACTTGTACTCATGATGGGAAGGGTGCAGGAGAGATGATGAAGTTGTGAGAGCGAATTACAGATGTCATAGTTAGCGGGTGAAATGATATTTGTTTTTTATTATATTTATGTGAAATGTGTTGTTATAATGCTTAATGTTTATTGTATTAACGGTCTACGCAACGACGTACATGTTGAATCTATTTGCTGCAACTTTTATTTTCAGTTCTTTTGCATGTATTTTTTTCTACATCGATGGTCTCTGAGGCAACTGTGGGTACAATATTTAATGTATTTATTTATTTTTTGTTTTATTTTTGGTCTGGAGGTCTTTGATGAGATATTCGACCTTATAGGTTCTTCTAGATGACTTATATGTTGTTATGGATTCTTCACACGTATGAAATTGCTATCAAGGCAACCAAGTACCTTTCTTTTTTCAGACATATGCCTTTTGGGGCTCTTCTAGATGACATTTGTGGTGATAATTGTGATGCATATGAGCTCGGTATTACGTGGTTTAAAAACAACTAAGAACCCCTTTTTTATTAAGATCTCTTGTCTTTTGTAGTGATAGATTACTCCGTTTATATTTTTTGCTCTGAGACCTTACAAATTTCTAAAACATTAATTGAGTATTATTATTATTATTTTTTACTATTGTTGTATCTAAGGGTCTAAGCTTTGTAGTTTTAAACCTTCAGAAAAGATGTGCTTGAGTATTTCCGCAGTCTCCAATGCATTGTACTTTTATTGTGAACTTTAGTGTTCTCTGCTTATTTCGTGACAAGAGCATAACTATTACAACAACTACAACAAGCCTTTTTCTCATTAAGTTGGGTCGGTTACTTAAATCTTTTTTCTCCATTGCGTCCTATTGAGTGTGTTATGTTCATTTAATTCTAAAAAATAAAGTTCATTTTTTATATAATATGCCCAAATCTTTTTAGTTCTACATCTGCCTTTCTTAACATTAGTCGAATCTAAAACATCTACTCTCTTATTCGGATCATCAGATGATCGACTTTTAATGTGACTAAACCATTTTAGACGACTCTCTAATTTTGTCCGCCGCTGGAGCTACACCAACCCTATCACGAAGATATTCATTTCGCATTGTCTCTAAGTGTAAAGTGTAAAACCACTCATCTCGGAAGCACTTAACTTAATCTAATGCTTCTCTTTTAAAGGCCAACATTCTGTGCCATAGGGCATTGTAGGTGTCACCACCATCTTATAAATTTTCTTTTCAGTCTAAGCGATACTTTTCCATCACACAATAGGCCCGAAGTATTCCTCCGCTTCAACCAACATGAATTCTACTAATAAAATTCTCATCTATGTCATCATCACAATAAGCAATAAACTCGAGAAATCGAAAATGTTGACACATTTTAATAATTTGATCATCTATAGTTACAACTCTGTCACTAGAGCTACAACTACTAAATTACATTCCATGTATTCAACTTTAGTTCTACTCAAACTAAGGCCTTTATACAACAACATAGTTATGTGAGACAATTTTACAAGTATACAAGGAATAAATCAGAGAACTGTGAATTTTTCAGTTGTGTGGATCGATTTGATGATTCCACTGTTGATAGTCATCAGGCGTGGAGATTTTTGTTGGAGGGATTAGATCATGATATTCATCAACTTCACTTTAAAAACAATATTATGATGATACCAGTTGCAATTTTAATAGTTTTATTTTAAATTTTGATTGTTGTGTTACTCATTATTGGTGAGTTGTCAGTTTTTATTTTATAATATTCAAACTAGATATCTGCTGCCATGTATGAAATTGGCAAGCATGACTAATTCTTTTATAAACAACATCATACAACATGGTCATAAATGTCATTTATTCATAAACAACTGCAACACTACTACTGCAAAAATGCACTAAACAGATAGACATAACTTTCCCACAGCAACTTTTTGGCACAACTGCTGCGCAGTAGCTTTTTAATGAGCTACAGCTGCCCCAAACAAACTCTAAGACTCACAATCAGTGGTGAAGCGAGAAAATTTTCAAAATAGAAGCCCAAAATAACTTTTTCAAAAATTACCTCAACTCTTTTTACTGGTCTTGCGACCAACATCAATGGTTTTAAAAATTTATTTGTGAGATAATTTTTATCTAAAAAAATGAAATATACAATAAATAAAAAAGAAAATCTAATCACTTGTACTGTCTTGCCTCATGCAAAGTTGAAACATAAAAATCTCCCATTAGTGTTAATACTTTTTAACTTATTAACTTGTAACTTGAAGCTACTTGTGAACCACAAAAGCTCAATGAATCGTTAACTTTCGTCCAATACAATCTTCAGGAGAATAGCCATGCCTTTATTTCACAATAAACAGCGCATGCCAAATCATTTTCTTTTCTTTAAATACCGCCAGTGGCTAACTTCTGATTTCTTGTTCTTCAGCAAGGCCCGGAGTTCAGGCCACAGATGTCTGAAGTCGTCCATGACCTGGCCCGAATGGTAGATGATATAACACGATCAAATAAGGATTTGCGAGGAGATTCTTCGAGTAGAGTTTCCAAATAAAGGCGAAATGGAGTAGAACTCATTGGTTGATGAGGGTGAAAGACTGATACAAGCTCATCTGGTCTTTCATTCATGGAGTTTCTTTGGAGTCATCTCCTGCTGATGGAATTGGAATTGGAATTGGAATTTTGCTTTGGAAGCTACATAATAATGGAAGTTAGCATGCATGCCATGGATTCTTCAACTAGAAAGCTAAGAGCTGCTGCTGGCAATTATTTTGTTAGTCTGCATTAGAAATAATTGATTTCTATTAATCCATTATTTTGATGTATGGAGATAAATGTGATGTATAAAGTTGAGAGATATTCTCTAGTTTGTTTATTTTATTTTTAAGATGAAGTATTTTTTGTTTGTTTCATTATCTATAGATGATTATCCTCTGCTTGCATGTAGCATTCTTTGCATCATTATTTCTGAGTTGCTAGAGATAATGTGACGGCACTGATGGTGACGATTATTATTATTTTTTTGTTATATATCCTTATAACATTTTTTTCTTCTTAAAAGTTCTTACATCTTTAGGAAGAAGTATAAGTACATACCACAATTTATATGTATTTATGTATCTTACATATTATTTTTCCTACATGCATATCACCTCACGCAAGAAAAAGTTTATTTCACTTTTAAAAGTTAAAATTGCAGTATTTTTTTTTTGTGATATGAAAGATTTGGGTGTTATAAATGTAAAAAATTAAATTCTAGATTTTGTTTATATAAGGATTTAATCAATATATATGCAAGGCATGTATGCCATTAAAATAATTTGGTGTAAATGTCTAGAATGTGATATTATAATATTTCATTCTAAAATAATAAAAAAAAAAATGAATTCCTGTTAAATTATATTTATTTTTAATGCTTATTAAAATGTTTAAATTTATTGTATTTATGCTAATTGAAGAAGAAATTTGTATGGTATCAAGTTTTGTTTGGTTGAAATCTAAAAATTAGTCTTTGTAAACAATCATAAATTAATTTTTCAAAAATATATAAAAATCCGAGAATAAAAACAATGTTAAATAGCTAAAGGTTTTTTTTTTTAACAAATATATTTTAAAAAAAAAGTTTAAATTATGAACGTAATATTTTTAAAAAAATTAAATTCTTTTTCCCTGGATTTGTTGTAGGCATTAAACTTTTTTTATTATATTTATTTATTTTTTTTAATTGAACATGAAATAATGTATTCATTAGTATGCACTTTGTTGAACTCCAGTATTTTCGAGTCACCAAAGGATTAGAGCGCAAAGAGAGGAAATGAGCAGAGAGATTATAGTAATGAACAATAAAATCACGTAACCATTATTCATGAAATGAGCCTCTATTTGTAGGAATGAATGTTGTAAGATTATATTTAGTATCTCTAGTAAAGTAGATACGGTAGGGGGGTTTCATTGATATATGGTCGGGAGCCTGAAATTGCGTTTGAGTGGTTATGCGTTTGGAGTCTAAAATGGTGTCCAGTCGGATCATGGCCTAGAAGCCTATGGCTGAAGTGTTGATTGGGAGGTGTCAACCGCCATCCAAAGATTCAGGCTATTATTATCATTCGCTTGGCCTGGTTGAGGAATTCTGACAAGGTTAGTACCAGTGGCCATTTGAGAGGATGTTGAATTGCGTTCGCCATGGGGTTATTTTTCTCTCGACCAGTCGGAGTAAGGCAGTTAAAAGCAGGCCCTTAAATTGCCCTTGGTGGTTCCTGGACCGTCATGTCATCTTCTCTGCTGGTTGTTTGATTTCTTCAACATTTATGTTGACATATATTTGATGTACATATTTAAGTCCTATATTTTCTTACTACTTGATATTGATAACTACACCACAAACAATAGAATCTTAATTTTTAAAAAAATTATTAGTATTCATGATTATTGAATGTACAATAATTGAATACTCGTAAAATTTCATACGAAGAACCATTTAAATGGGGAAGGGTTGAAGAAAGAATAGAATCTTATGCTAGTTTTCTTTGGCTGTGTTGTCTTCTCTTCACTGTTGTTAGCGATCATTGAGAGTGGCCATCCCACTAAGTTAGTCATGTTTGACAAAGATTACAAAAAAAAATGGTCTTTCCATGTCATGAAACAGAGGGTGAAGGCTTTTTCTAAGAGTTAACAACCCGAGAAACTTCTATGGTCAAAACAAAGCTCTGAGAGCTAAGAGATGAAATAGGGTCATTAGATTTACTTTTAGATCACCCTACAGAGAGGTCTCAAGTGAAATAGGGTGGCTTCTTAATGAAGAAATGTTGGATGATGGGAATAACCCATCCAGAGGATAAGTTAGCAGAGTAGCTGATTTCAGCCTAGAATCCTTTTGTGCTGGAGGAAGAGCAAAGGCAGAAACATGTGACTACAGTGGCATTGCCTGGGGAATTAGGCATAGTTATTAGGGGGGTGCCCATGATTTTTCCCTAGTTGATGCCTATACATATATCTCGAGAAGATCCAATGGATCACATGAAAGAAATTGATGTACAAACTCTCATCATTATATCAGTTGGCCTTTATAGTTGACCAAATGAAAGATTGCCAGACCCAAGGAACACCATATGCCTGCATTGACACCTATGCAACCAACACCTAACATTAGAAAGATCAACAACTGCTAAAGGAAATTTATTTTATGCAGCTCATCGACCGAAGGGAGGTTGCCTGTCAAATCATGATAACATACGCTCTGTCTGATGGAATATCCTTGACCGAAGACAATGATCCTTCACAACACATTTCTTAGCAAAAGGTGATTGTAATTCATTCGTTCAATCAATCAACACATGGCCAACCATATGAAAACAAAATGATCAGATTAGACGTTACAAACACGAAAGGATGCCAAGTGCGGTTACAAATATGGAAAGGCTCTAACAGCGGTTACAGGGGCAAAAAATTTTCTACGTTAGTTACAATTATGTAAAGGTATAATGATTCATAAATGACTATAACATTCCCATTAAAAGGGGACAATTATGAAATTTTTTATACCCTTCCTATGACTTATAAATAATAATGTTACTTTTATTAGAAAGGTCTATTGCACAATTTCCCAAAAATTGGGCATTACTCATTTCCCATGTCTCTTTCTGCTACTCTAATTTCTTTCATTCGACTAATGCTCTATTTTTTTGGTGTGATCCACAAGAAAATTTGGGATCCAACATTCTATAAGGTGTTGTGAGAGTGGAGGAATGCCTTCAACTACATGAGAAGCACATTAGGATGAAGGAACACATCAAGGAGAAACCTCCAAGGTGGAGCCCTTTTTAAAAGTTTGTGTGATTATAAACTCAAGAATTCCACAACCGAAGATAAGTCGAATTGTGGAATTGACCTAAGTGGTGCCTGAAGGGAGGGAACAACCTCTCCCATAACCCAATCCACTAGTACCCAAACCTCAAACTCAATAGACGGTCCATGTCGCTGAACGAGTAGAGGAGTCCTAGTACCAAGACAGTGCTAGGTCCGTACCAAAGGGGAGACCGCAGCCAGAAGTGATGGAAGTGTACCACCAGATAAAGAATGCCTTCATCTGACATATTGTTGAAGTTGAGTCACCAGAGAAGTTTAAGGTTCCCTCCTTGGTACTGTACAAGGGTCGGAGTGACCCTGCTGACCATATTGTGTCCTTTGAGTTGGTAATCTGCCTTCTCAAGATCTCTGATGCATTAAAATGTCAGTTGTTCTACGCTACTCCAAGATATTCTCCTCTCAGGTGGTTCAATGAACTCCCTATAGGAATTATTAATTCTTTCAAACATTTTAGGAAGTTTTTTTTGCTGCAGTTTGTTAACAGCCAAAAACAATTAAAAAATTCAGTTTCCTTATGGTATGTGAAATAGAGATCGAATGAGAGTTTGCATACATTTGTTATAAGGTTCCAGCAGGAGATGCTCGAGGTGTGGAACATGGAGCGAGTAGTTGGTGAAGCAATCCTAGCGCAAGGACTGAGATTTCACAATTTAAGTATTAATTGGATTTGCAAAAACCCAAAACATTGGTTGAACTCTTAGAGTTAGCTAGTGATCACATTGTGATCGAGGAATATATGAAGTAATCGATTTAAAAAGTTGACAAATTAGACCGAGAATTCAGAAAGAAGAGCTCAAGTAATGATGAATGGAGGAAGAAGAATGGACCTCATCCAAAACATGAGAGAGGTAATTCATCCTGAGTGGACATGGAAGTCGATCGAGCTGGATGCAGACGCACTCGATCAAACGTCTTATCTATAGAATACTGGGATCATCCATGCCTATGTCACTAAGACTCTTGATGGCGGAACTCGTAGACTCTATAGAAAACAAAGAATACTTCCAAAAGGAAACTCTGATGAATACTGGAGCTCCCCTCTTAAATCTCAACAAATATTGTAAGTTTCACTAATACCATGAGCGTTATACAAAAAACTACAAGCACCTTTGTAGCATAGTAGAAGAGTTAATACTAGCCAGGAAGCTCAAGGAGTTTGTAGCCTCGGAGTCCCACATTCAGAGGAAGGGGAAAGCTCCTTTAGATGAGAAATCGGGTGGGCTTTCCCAAGCCAATGCTATCTACATAGTGGGGACAGTACTAGCAATATTAGGAGGCAATTCATTCTTGAGGCTCAACTAAAAAAGTAGTCAATTAGGGTACTACTATGTTGTAACTTCCATCCCTAAAAGGAAGTCTCATTCCTAGATCATTTTCACTCATGATATCTTTCTTGAACCAGGAATCTCTACAATGATGCCATTATTGTTACTAAATTACTCAGTAACTACCAGGTAGGGAGTATCTTGGCTGATATCGGTAGCTCGGGAAACATTTTGTTAAAAGCTTCATTTGACAAGATAAATTTGACGATCAAATTGTGGCAATTGGTACAATAGGAATCTTTGTCAACTGGGGAGAACGTGACAATAGAATTACAAATGTGGAGAATTTTTTAGTGGTCGACTTGCTACCAACTTACAATGCAATATTCTTTCACCTCTTCCTCAGTGATTTCCAAGTTGTGGTGTCTACATACCACATAATGGTGAAATTTCCTGTGAAGGGGTGATTGTGGCTATATGTGGAGATCTAGAGCGGTCCTAAACTTGTTAAATTTGAGTTATGAAGCGTAGAGCAAGAGACTCTTGACATACATCACTAACGGGGAAGAGGCCTTGAAACTATTGAGGCTATAATCAAACTCCCCGTAGACCTCAAGGACCTGATAAATTTGTTATAATCAGTAAAAATTTTGACACAAGTCACAAGGATCTATTGATAAATACTCTCAAGAACACTAAAATATTTTTTTCCTAGACGACGGTTGAAATGCCAGGCACCCCCATTGATCTGGCTTTTCACAGTCTCAACAATAATTTTTCCATCTGACATGTTAAGCAGGTGCTCCAATCAATGAC